GTATACTTAGACAATGTTTTACTTCCAATGCTTAATCAAAAATCAAAATGTTGTTTTGCAAACTTTAATGGAAATGTTCAGTAGTCTTTTGCCAAGTATATGTTCAAAATATATCTGATGTCTGGTTTGTAGCCAAAAATAAAAGAAAGAGTATTTGTCATATTTCTTTTCAAAGAGTTTTTTATTTTTAATTATTTACTGAGGCTGACATCAACTTAAAGACAATGAAGTTTTCTGAGTAGTTAAATGTTTGGTTTGAAAATTTTTGTTTGAAAAAAAAAGAAACTCACATTCAGAAAAAATGTTAAAAAACTGTCATTTTGATTTCATAGTTTACTATATTCCTTTAAAATGAAAACAAAAGTAGCTGTAAAAAAGAGAAACCAATTATTTTTTTAAAAATAATTCTACACGGTTTATTGTATTTCTTGATTCCCATGTTGTTACTACTATGTTTTACATCTTCATTTATCTGGAAGGTGACTTTTCAGCCAGTTCAACCATATTGCATCAGAGTTTGAATAAGCCTCTAGAGACACAATAGAGAAGCCCATGATATTTTGTTGGAAAAAAATTTGTATTCACATGTCTCTTTATATTTGCTATTATCTGCTTATGTTTACTATTTACATGATGGTTTTGGACATAATAGATAACACTGTTAAGAACAAGTGAAATTGTTTTAGCTTGAACATCTATCTGCTTATCTAGCTGTGAACGGATTACTCTTGGGTGATTTCTGTGCTGTTCAAGTGAGTCTGATAATAATAGAGTGTTTGAAGGCTTCTTGTAACTTTTACAGTCAGATCTCTAGTTCACTCATTTGACAAAAGTAAGGAAGCCTAAAGTCTTATATCAGATATGTTTTACTAACAAGCTTCCTAAAAAGTTAATTGATTTTTCTTTTGAGTGATGGGGCAAGAGAAAGTATTTACTTTTTCCCAAATGTTGGATAAACCTAGAGGAACACTGCCAAAGAATTTGACTTCTGTTAGAATAAAGGTAAACCAGTCTAAAACAACATGGAACAATATTTGGATTTAATTTTCTCCATCGTTTACAGTTAGCATAGTGAGCAGCTCTGTAGCCCCTAAAAGGCATTTTTGTAGTTACTACAGTAGGAGCAAACTGTAAGAAAAGGTTTAAAGAAAAATAATGTAGCAAAGTTGGTTCTTTTTCTTCCAAATTTGTGTGATAGGTAGCACAAGAAGAATTTAAAAAAAAACATTATAAGAACATTAGATTCAAGGGCAATAGAGTCGTAGTGGACAATGAGTGAGAGGAATGAAGGGTAGACTCTTGGCAGACAGTAATGTAACTGATAAATAGTTTGGCCTGGAAATAGTATTACATGTGATTGAAGGATAAATGGTGGAAATGTGACACCTTGTAACAGTGAATAAGTGTAAAACATCTGCATATACAGAGCTGGCAGCTGGTAGATATTGACCTGATGGTGTGAAATGTGAGGATTTTGTTGATTTAGGTGCTTGTTTTATTCCCTAGGGGTTTTTTTAGTCTGTTTAGACAGTTCTTACCATCAACCCTTTCCTTGTGAGGTCTTATGAAATATTACTATTTTTGTTGTTAACATAAGATCGTGTACAAACCTCCCTACACAAAATCCCTTTTTTAAAAAAAAAAAAATAATATTTTTTTCTTTTGCAACAGAGTCTAAGAATTTGCTGTTCCCTAGGGGTCTGGTGGCTGCAATAGTTTTGATAAGTTTCTGAATTTTTAAACATTCATAATGTTTGTCTTATAAGTCATTTGCAGGTTCCACCTGAAATGCAATATTCATATATTTTCTCTTTGTTTGTGTGGTCCTCTGACATCCTTGTCGTAAGAATGTATAGAAAATTCATTCAGACTAAACAATACTTGGGTCTTGTTTACTACATGTTGTCATATTTTGTTAAATTTCATACAATTTCATGTGTCTAGGCTTAGCAAGGACTACTTGGGAAGCATGTATCCTATTTTACATTTTCTCCACTTTGAATTGTCTGGGAGTTTCACTTTCCAGTTCCTTACTATTGTAAGGGTGTAAGAAAGAGATTGGGATAGTGCCCTTGATTCCTTTCTTCTGCCTTCCCATGACATCTGATACTCATGGCTTTTATCCTTTGTTATATGGCCGTACATTCGACTAAGCTGCTATGACTCATCTGTGGCATGTAAGAGCATAGAGAACATTGTGGACTATTCTGTGACTGCATGTAATATTAAGGACTGGACTCAGTTCCTTAAATGATCCAATTCCTAAAATAAGTTAGATATGACAATGCATTATGACTTCCTGAATGCTTTGTTATGATTTGTCTGCACATGTGACTGCATGTTCCTATGCCCAGTTTCACTAGACTGAGGTATTTGTACAGTAAAATGTCATATGTTTGTACAGCTATTTGCACAGTAACATCTATAGTGCAGAAATCGATTTTTTTTTTCCTATTCCTAAACTGTACTGGGAAATAAAACTCCAGGGATATGGCAAGGGGTAAAACAAATTTTCATTTATACTGTTTATATAATGATTTTAGTATTATGTTTATATACTGTTATATATTTCCACAATGTATACTAATATTTTATTTAATAATGCATATGGGATTAAATTTTAAACATTAGGTTCATATTCTGCTCAATAATTATAAAATAACTTCCTTAAATGTAGTGATAGTCAAATATTTCCACATAGTTATTACTCAGAAATAAGTGCTGTAATGTAAATAAAAATAATAGTCTTATTTGACATTTGCTGATATGTTTAAGGAGTGAGGGAGCTATGTGTGTTTGGTTTCTCTTTCTGGAAACAAAACAGAGATTCTTACTAAGTTATATGTAAAAATGTTGGCTGGACCTGTTTAACCAAAATCTTGTTTTTAACAAAGAGGTAAAATCAGCTGTATTACAGCCTATTTTATGTTCTGTCCTAATACATACTCAGTTAAATATGTAGGGTGTCACTGATCAGAATGTTGCTACAGACAGAAAACAGTATTGGAAGAGTGCCTTTTGGCTATCTATGTGTTTATTAGATGAACTTAATTTGTTTGTTTCATCCTATTACATGCTGTGGAAGGACAAATTGAGATTAGAAAGGAAAAATTAGGTCCCTTGCACCAGATAATCATAAAGAAGATCAACTGTTTGTATGGCCTGTAAGACTTCTACAGAGCTTTGTAATGTTGATTATCTAAGATATTTCTTAATATTCTCAGAATTATTTCCTATTAAGGAATACAAATATTCCTTGGTTAATGAAAGTATTATTGAGTGAAATGAAGAAAAATCCATAATCTTCACTGTTTCTTAATAGATCAAATAGTTTAACTTCATATCAAGTCAATAAAAATTTGGTCTCCATTGCACCAAAATAGCTTGCATAATGGCGCTGTATTCAGCTTTCAACTTCATTGGGTTTAATGCCATTAAGGAGAGGAAGTATCTGATCAAATAAGAATGCAGTATTGCACTTTTCAAAGGATTTTATGCCAGTAAGAATTTAAGAGATACAGAGGAGGGATTATCCTTCAGATGTGTTCCTTCCACAAAAAAAAAAAAAAGTAAATACAGACCCTATGACATCCTGCTTTTGCTCTGAAATTATTTCATTTCAGCAATGTTTCAAAACCGCAGCACTTGTTTACTGAATAGATTTGTGTAATCCAAAGATTGAAAGAAAAAAGAGACATCTTAAAACGTCTTGGGATACCTACTTTGTTTTGTGATAGCTAAAGTATGATTTCTGTTACTGTTGGCTAGTTGCTCAGGTTTCTTTTTACTAGACGTTTCCAAGCTATTAGAAAACTCAGTAAATTGGGTGAGGGGGTGTGTGCTAGTTTCACTGACACTTTGTCAGCCTTCAACCTGACATCTTTAAAGGAGATCAGGTTACCCTCAGATGGTTATGATACAACACACAGTGGTTTGTCACCAAATGATTTGTCTTCAGAAGGATGGTGCTTAAAAACGATCATTTAAGCATCTTTTTAGAATTTATCCATTGTTGTTACAGATCATCTCTGATGATGCAATTGTGATTCAAAACTATAGAACAAATAAACTCTGGTTTTGAAACTAATTTTATGTGTTGGGACTGATTAGTTATACTGGCATGCTTTCAGAATAAGGTAATTCAAGCTGACACAAAACAGCAGTTCATCTTTCTAAAAAAGAATATCATTAGTTCAGCTCAAAAATAGAACATTTCTCTTAAACATGACAACTGTAGGAAGTAGCATTTTCAAGCAATCAAATAGGTCTATAACTTGATCCTCTTCCTGTGAACAGAAACACTTCAGACCATGTTAAATGCACGGAGAATACTGAAGCATAGAAGTACTGTGCTGTCAGTGGAGAAATTTCATGTTCTCCTCAAGCCTGGTGGTTAGAACAGGCAGGCAAGCATCAACATAGTTGTAAAAACTGGTTTATTTCTTAAAAATAAATACAAAAATATAAATATAAAACATTGGCAGATAGATTTTGATGAAATGAAGTTGCACAAACTTTTTTTTAAACCAGCTGCATATTACACTTATTAACACCACATGTACATTTTGTTTTAATTTTAATGTACAGAACAGGACATACTGGATTTTTTTCTTCTTTGCCATCTTAAAAGCTGCACTTGCAAGGGTAGGACATGTACCTAACAGAAGCGGCTTGTACATGACGTTGCTTAAGGGATTATCACCCTGTTCAGATTTCTGAAGGTAAGATATTGTTTATTTTACTTACTAAAATGGACAACACTGAATTTCCATAGCTTTGGCTCTTGGAAGGTGATTAAATAAAATGCTGTATATATTTCAAGTGGCATCCTACTAGAAAGAATGAATGACATTAATGGACAAATTTAAAACAAATTTTAAAAGGAAACCATTGTGCTGAGTGGCAGGAAAATTTTCCTGAATGTTAAATACTGTTGAGTGCAGAAGGTGTCTGTAAAATTACTTCCGCTCAAAGGAAACAAAGATGTAGCCTACTGTAGGTTAAGAAATGTCTTTGTCACTTTCTCCTCCACCATACATTTCAGCTAGCTTATTAAACCGAGGGCCCCATTCTCGGAGGTAATCATAGTTTTGGTCCCCTTCGGTAGTACCCGACTCTAAGGAGCTCAAGGATTCAGCTATTGAATCATTTCCTTCATACGCATAGGTTGCAAGCGAGTCATACGGTGGTGCAGAAGGATCAGTATCGTGCTCTTTTAGCCTTTGGTTAATGAAATCTCGGACATCTGTGTTATCTGGGGCTGAAGGAGTCCTCCGTGGTACAAATAATGTTTCAGGGATAATGTCTCGTCGAAGCTTCTTATCTTCGATAGCTGCAGGATTCCTCAGTGTGCCAATATCAAAGGCTTGGGTGTCTTCCTCTCCACCGCCTTCATCGTTATAACTCACAATGTTGTCTCTGATGTCCTCTTTAGAGAGGATCAAAGGCTCCTTCTTTCGTTGCCTCTTCAGAGCAGCAAACAGCACCACTATAACTTAAAGAGAGAAACAAAGAATAGGTAAAGATCTCTATTTCACAATTTCTTACTAACAAATCCACCAGCTTTATTTCAGCTACATTTCAGCAATTCATTTCTGTCTGATAACATCTCTATCTCCATTACTGTAACACAGTAAGGTCTATATCAAAATGTGCTATTTTGCACACGCATTGTGTGCTCTGCTTTACAGAACCATGAGTTTGTCTATGTACTCCTTCTGTAACTTTAATGAGTTTTAAAATACTAGATCTATTCTGAACTTTTCCCTTTTTTAAGCTGAAAGTATAAAAACTGGTTTTGAGGTGAATTATAGGTCATTGAGCAATATTCTGAAAATCTCAGAATGGAAGTTTTATGAGATTTACATTATTTTTTTTACAGCACAGAAAACTCTGGATAAAGAGTGCTTTAAATACAGTAAAAATACTATTTACTGGCATATTCTGTGTGAAATAAATACTGCATGTTGACTTTAGATAGTTATTAAAATAAAAAAGAGACATTCCCTCAAAAAAAAAAAAAAGAAATACATGAAAATGATTTTTGATTATGCTATTCCCCCTCTCTGATGTTCTTTTTTGGACAACTTAACGAAAGAACAAAAATGACTTTCTGGTTGCACATTGGTAGTTTTAACAGTCTGGGTCTTGAATTCTTATTTGCAATGTCCAATTCCCAGACAAACAGGTTTTTCCTTTTTTTCCTTTTTGTTTTAAGTTGCAGTTAAATTCTTCTTGCAAAATACATGATCATTAATTTTACCAGTCTGCAGAGTTTTGTAAAATGAGTCACGCCTGAAGCATTTGTTCACGGAGGGAAAGATGCATTTCTTTTTCTTACCTAGCAGGATAACGATGCAGAGGAGAATGGCAACCAGTGCCCCTGTGCTGAGGCCGGCAGGTAGGAGCAAGGCCTCAGCGTTGCAGGACTGCATGTTCCCCCGGCTGTCGCAGGCACACACGCGAATGGTCAGGGTGCCAGTGCTGCTCTGGATCGGGTAGTCATTGTCTGATATCACCACTGGTAGCAGGTAAGTATTTATTTCATGTCGACTAAAGCCATTCCTCCTTGTCAAAATTCTGGCAGTGTTATCTAGATTGATTGAAATATACTGTTACATAGTGTATGAATATGAAAAGTGTATAATTTATAGTACATGCAAACCGTTGTATTTTACAACACCAGTGGCATTTTGAAACTGTTCCTGATATCATAGTGATATCTCTCTTTTCCTACTGACATTTCCATTTGATCAGAAAGCTACTTATAATTTTTTATGTACACGTGGCCTGCTCCTTCGTGCCTCTGCAGCACCTTCAAGTGTGATTTGAAAAGAGGATTTTTCAAAGCTTAAAATGTTTTATAGATTAATGCATGCAGTGCACGACACAGTTCCAGTTCAGGGCTTAAGCCCTGAAATGAAATGGCCAACTGCAAAAAAATAACTTTCCACTTCATGCTGTTCAACAAGCACTCTGTTTTGAAAGGTTGTCTCTATGGATCTTCTGTGACAACACCTACGGGAGCGCTATGGGTACACTCAGTATGAGATATTCCCATGGAAACACTTTCAACATACTGTAGAACAATGAATTATGTACCTTAGCGCATGGAGTAGATTTTTTGTGGAAAAATTGTCTTAGGAATTCAGAAAATGTGAAAGATGGTAGGTATTCCTGCATAGTTTTGAAAAGTGGATTTACTAAACTGTATTTGTAGCAGGCAAATCTTAGCTCTATGCAGTATACTTCAGCATCAAAAGCTGTTCACTGAGTGGCCAGAGGGAAGGAAAGGAAGGAAAGGAATAAATAACAGGGAGAGACTATTTCTTCTGTTGTAAGGTCCACAACGTTAGAGTGTGAGCCAACACTAGAGTTGCTAACGTTTTAGTCCAAAGAGAGAAAATACAGATTTAGTCTCCATTAGAAGGAAAATTTAATTTTCATCATACTCATGGGTCGCTTGAGGTAGATAGTTAGCTATCTTGCCAGCCAACTTCAAGCTGAATTAAAATAAGCCATGTGCAAAAAGAAATAAAATAATTACAGGTAGAAAAGAAATAACAAGGTCTGTACCTCTCTGCCCTCAGGACCTAGTAATCAGGATATAATCTTTGTTTAAAATAGTAAATGATATATTTTTTTGTAGCCTCTACAATGTGAAACACAAAGTTTTCCTTTATTGCATACTTTTATTTTTCTCTATCTAACATAAAATTCCTCATGTTTGCAGTCTGTTACTTCCTGAAATCTTCATCAGGAAAAGAGGATTATTCCCATTACCTTTATGCTTTTAACACATTTGAAGGCTGGTACCTTGTCCCCCCTCATTTATTCCTTCTGTAATCTAGAGCCCTCTCACTTAGCCATACTGATAATGAAGGCCAAAACGGGTGCATTCCCCAAGAGAATCTTCTGAAAATTTTCCCTGATAAAGGTTGACAAAGGATCAAAAGAAAAGCCAAAGCATCTATGTGCTCAGAGCCATTATTTTCATTAATGGTCAGAAAGAAGCAAAACAGAACACCAGGGAAGTCAGGACTATGTAACAGAAGGCTAAAGTGAAAAATCTGAACGTGTCAGCTGAAGCCATTTTTTAAACATTTTTTGTCTCTTTCAGTCAAACATTTCATCTGCCTACTCACCCCAAACCAACAATTCTCCTGATTTTATTTATATTTTTTTATCCCATTTTTGCCATGATAATTTTTGCCTCCCTTACACAGATGAAAATGCAGAAGCCCTAAACCACAGTCATTCAGGTAAAATAATTATTCTTCCTAGCAGCCGCTTCAACAGCTTCTCTATGTATTGATAGACATCAAAAGCAAATATATTTCAGGAATACATGCCAGACAGCAAAGATAAAACTCCTTCCCTGGAACAGGCATGAATTTTACCTTCATTATCCTGAACAGTGAAGTTGGGGTTAACAGCAGCTAGGCTGAAGAAAAATTTTTGTCCACCAAGAGGGTCATCTTTGTCTACTGCACTTATGGTTTGAATAAGCTGCAGGAAAAAAAGCAAGCAAACAAACAAAAAACCCAAATGCACCTAGGTTTTTGATACAGCCGTCGGATTACTTTAAGTAGACTAGAAGTGTTAAGACAACTTCATATTCAAATTTATTGACTTAATACTTAATCTGTAGAATATATTAACTGAACAAATGTTAAACAAGCGTATCACATAAGTTTTCCAACAAGAGCATCCATACATGTTTCATGTAATCGTACATGTATACATGCAAAATGGCCAGCTTCTTCCTTAGTCCTCCTCTACTTCTTTTTTTTCAATACATTTCAATAAATTTTTGTGATAAAATGGTATTCAATGAAATAGATGTTTCTGATACAGAAGTTAAAGTTTCAAACTAAATTTAAAAATAAAAACATTTGTTTCTAAGCCATTAGTGTAGCAAACTACACCAATAAGGTTCCTGAGATGAAAAATACCAGTTAGATTATATATGTATTTCAACTTTTGCAAAACATTGTAGCATGCTCTACAGATGCACCACCTCAGAGTGGGATGAGAATCTGGTGTCACAATTCTCAGAGTAAGCTGCATCAGGTAAGTTCAATACTTGGACTGAGTGCTTTCTGCAATGCCTACAAAAAAATTTTGGTATTTTTGGGGGAAGTAATGGCAAGCCCTTTATCAACATTTGTTTATCTGTCAGGTAAATGAATATGTGGCTTTTTTCCACTGAAGTGTCTATACATAAGAGAGGCAAAATGCCATTTCCCAAGCAAAATACAGTTTTTGACATCTTTATTGCTTTATGTCAGAGTGGGTTTTTTTATCCTGTTGCAATAAAAACTGTACCTATGGTTGAATTTTTGTGCATGCATGCATGAATGTTCAATTATGTTCCTAACTTCCAAAAATAGGTTAATCTTTATCCTAGGTCATTTTTATTCTTCATTTCTGATCCATCATTTCAAATTCCAGGTTTTTTTCAAGCATGGAATTACATCTAACTTTTGATGCTATTCTTTCCCTGTGGCATACTTGTTAAACCCTGTTTGTTTTTCCTCTTCCAGTTCTTCCAAATACAGCCAATTCTTTTCATATGACAGCTTTTGTCAGGACTGATCATCTTGAACATCATCAGTTGCAATATACTCCTGTTTGCCTTAACAAATGTGTGATTAACTCCCAACTTCTCTCTTGCTCATCCGGAATACAGCAACAAATTTCTTCATGAGACAAGGATTGGATTTCTTTTAGCACAGCAGCTTGCTTACTTACTCAACTGGAGCTTTGTCTTTCTCTAGATTTATTTTCTCACATAAACTTTTGATAATTTACTGGATGAAAAAAACAAATAAGATAAGCATATAATATTATTTATTTTTAAAGAATGAACCTTTTAATTATTTAGTGAGTAATTAGCAAATAAATCTTTAGAGACTTTTGCAAAATGAAGCCAAGAAAATACTAGTCCATTTTACTTCACAAGTGGAGATCATGAATGCAGTCAGTTGTTGGCGGTAAGCTGATGACGGTTAACTCCTCCACTTTTTAGTGTCCATAGCCATAGTTTAAAAGGAGTATGTAGAATTTTTTATAGCCTAAAATCTTTTCCGGTTTACAGGGATTATTCACCTAATGCAGTACTGCTGACCAGTGTACCTGAGCATGACAACAAAGAGGAAGAAAATATCTCCTATTAATTCCCCCATTCATCACTGGAAATACGGTTGGAAAATACCTTTTGGATCATCAAGTCCAATCATTAATCTAACACTGCCAAGCCCACCACTGAACCATATCCCTAAGTGCCACATCTACCTGTCCTTTAAATACATCCAGGGATGGGGACTCAACCACTTCCCTGGGCAGCCCGTTCCAATGCTTGACAACCCTTTTGGTGAAAAAATTTTTCCTAATATCCATCAAAACCTCCCCCAGTGTAATTTGAGGTCACTTCCTCTTGTTCTATCACTTGTTACTTGGGAAAAGTGACAGCTACCTCTCTACAACCTCCTTTCAGATAGTTGTAGATGGGAGGTTGTAACAAGGTGGATTTTGTAACAGTTGAAGTTCTCTGGGAACTTCTCTGTTCAAATACTAATCATGTTTAACCTTATGATACATTTTGGAAGTAAATTCAGCTAATTTGCTTACATTAGGGATAAAAAAAATTGCATGTTTTTTTGTTTCATTGCAAGCATCATTTAAAAATTAAAACATAAGGATAATTCAAAAATGCCAGCATACATTTGTTTGACTAAATATTATGTATTTTCAAGTTAGTTGCTGATACGTTTCATTAAGCGCAAAGTTTTAAGGATGATGTTGTGAAACAATGTGTTTAGATACATTGTCACATTTACAGCATCTCTAAACTAAATTGTAAAATACATCAAAACAAAAGCATAATTTGTTTTGCTATTCTCAGTTAGAACCTAAACTTCTAAAATATTTATAATTTTTTTTTTTCAAATGAGAATATTACTGGAAATTCACACAGGAAGTACATTACTCGCTCCTTTTCACATGAGGCCACGTACACATTCCAAAAGAGCAAGTACTTAGCATTTCCTGTGTGAGCCTTGAAAGTTTTCCTTGCTGGTGCACTCAAGTTCCTCCTGTATGTCATCAGAAGGAACAGGCAATTTACCAGATTGGAAGTGTAGTGTGAATGAAGTTTATTTAGAGATGGCCTTTGGTCTTTGGAGGAAGCAGCATCTCTCTGTTAACTTCTTGAAGTACTGCATGAACTTTTGTGCTCTTTCGAGGCCTGTACGTGAAGCTTCAGACAACACATGGACACAACATACAAATGAGGAAGGGGGAAAGCAGATTCCTCCTGTATTGCTGGGAAGCAATAAAAGTACAGCTGTAGGTCATAGTCAACAATATAGCTTGTTTTGGTGATTTCCTTGCTTGCCTACTCCATCACTCTTGCAGACAATTATAGCAGCATCACAGGTTTGGATGTCCTAAGTAGGACATATTTGATGTGCTGATTGTTGACTTGAGCAAAAGAGTTATCACAACTTCTGTCTGAGAGTACGTTGAGGTCTGGAATCCCTCTCAGCTGCATTTCTTTTCTTTTCTTTTCTTTTCTTTTCTTTT